ATGATATATGATTTGTGGCCGAGTTTTCACACTCAAAACTACGGAGTTATATTGTAATAAAAAAAACTAAGGAGTAATAAGTTTTTCTGGCCCTAGCTAGTTGATACACTATTAGTGGTTCTTATTTGACCACTCACAAAAATTAAACAAAACCACATGACCTGAAAAAAACTAGCCAATTCCCAAAGCCCTTGTATTAATTAATTAATTAAACTATGTGCACACCCATCAGTCATAGAAATTAATTACAAGAGTGGAAATGACACTTCCCACTGGCTGCCCATCTGCCCTCTTGGCTTTATTTTTATTGGTTGAGTGCCATGCCAAGTCACCAAAATACCATCAATAAATAACATTTTTTAATTTATTGGTTGAGGGCCAATTTTATTTATCTATTTTTAATGTTTATATTTGTAATTAGTGGAAGATTAATTAAGAAAATGCCCATTCTCATGCATGCATTGCCCACTACTATTCATAAATAAATGAACATGGCTCTTCTTGTGGCTTAGGATTAGAGATGCAATGTATTTTTTTTTTCTTCTCAAAGGAAATGGGCCAATGATGGAAAATTTTTGGCTTGGATTATGAGCATTTTATTAGGTTAATTCTTAAATATGAGATAGACATGTCTTATGTATTAAAAAATTATGAACTCAATGGATGCGGTTATTTTGATTGGATGTTATAAAGTATTATGAATACAATATGGGAAGATAGATGACATTGTACATTCCATTTCAAAATATATATTTTCGATAAAAATGACATGTTTATTATTTTAATTAAACAAATGTATTTACACGCACATACACGTACATGTAGATGTAGATATAGATATATACATATCACATTCACACATTTATTAGGATGATTTAGTTATGTGTTCTTATTTTTTCCTCCTTAATTCTCATTTTGGAATAAGAAATATCTTAAACTAGTTCGAAATACATTTGAAAGTGTATTTTATTCTCATGTCAAAGAGTATATTTTCTAATTTTATTGTTATTTAAAGAATGAGAACCCTCTCAACACTATTACTTTTTTTTTATTATGTGATCGAGAAGCTGATTTTAGGCAGATTTAACATTTTTATGAGCCAATAAAGGAATGAAACGAGTTTAATATTTTTTGTAGCATAATTATTGCAAAAGTTTGCCTGTCCATCTCTTCACATTTCGTGCTTGCAGAAAATACTATACTCRTTCAATTGTTCTTTTACCCGTGCAAAATTAATTCATTGCATTATTAAATTGATGGAGTTAACAATACGGAGGACCTACTATTATATGAAAAATTGAAAGTTCAAAAAATATAGGGAATAAAGATACATCTTGAAAGTTTTGAGACTACTATTTAAAATATGGAGACTAAATAAATTCAACTTTAAAATTTTAAACATCAATTTGTGATTAGCATTTTTTTAAATACTTATAAATATAAGAGATGATATAAATTCAAACACTAAAACTTAGAAAAATGTGCTAATACTTTTTTTTTCTTGCATAACAATATAATAAGTGTCTTATCTATTGAATTATGTTCGGATGGATACTTAATACTTTTTGTTTTTTTAGTTATATGGTATGTAGGGATGAAGATTCAAACTTTCGATCTCTTTGATCGATAACATATGCATTAAACAGTTAAACTATATTCAAATTTACGATTTAAATTTGATAAAGTGTTGTGAGAAAGACATCTTGATTAGGAAATAATGAAGGTGGGATAAGGTTGGTAGCTTATATAGAGAATTGATATACGAAGCCATGAACCTCATTAAACCATTAGATTAAAATGATATATTGTGGGTGCACACAATTAGACTATTCAGTGGGAGGTCGGTGCCAAGAAAAAGGTCAAATTACTGTTTCATTTAATGTTGTCCCCATTATTCATTCTTATGGTGAATATATTTTTTTTTGGTCAAGAAAATTTATTTTATTTTTCTCKTATAAATCCTTGATATTGAGATAGGATTAAAGTTAAAAGGGTGTATTAGATACAACACAATTTAGGAAACTAGTACTAAACACATTTAAAATTTTAAAAATTTATGAGACACATATTTTAAATTTTATTTAACGCATAATTAATAGTGAATCAAATTATTATCTTGTGAGTCAAAAGACAAATAACAATTAACACAATGTGTATAGTACAACATGTGGAGATGGAGGATCGAACTTACAATGTTATGGTTGGAGGTATATGTCAATTAYCATTGAGCTATATTCACTTTGACATGATGTGTATCAATCTTTACTTCTCAACCACTAAAATGAAATTTTTTTTTAGAGCAAGCAATTAATTGAGACGTAAATAAGTGCTAAAGAAATATATGTTTAAGGTGACAATAGGGTATGGAAGGGGTTGTGCGTCAACAGTATTTAGTGCTAATTGTTTAGCATATTTTTTTCACTGATAAAAATTGGACAGTTTTTTCTTTTTTTTTTTAAAAAAAACAGAAAGAATTCTCTTTTATACATTTTTTTCCTTTACTTGTCAAAAAATTTAATAACGATGAACAAAATATAAGTGTCATAAGTACCTTTAGTTATGCGTTAAAAGGCATATAAATTTTTTTTTCCATTTTCGAAGCAATACAAAGGCATAAAGTTGGGCGATAATGAATATAAAACACACACATATATATATAAATGTGCAAATGAAAGTTTTTTTTTCTTTTTTTCGTGAACTTAAACATATTCAATTGGTTAAAACATATATTTATAAATAAAAATTTGTGGATTCGAATTCCTTCAAATTGATGTACTAAAAAAATGATAGGTTTGTTGGTAAAATATGTTAAGTATCTCCAGAATTGCATGATATTGGCTTTTAACATAAGCTTTGTTTTTTGTTTCACCCTCTCATCTATGTCTTCCTTAATCAATATGAGATTTTACTTGCATACTCTGCAGTCCAATGAAAGCCTGCTTGTCTTATCAACATCTTTCTTTTACTTACATACTTACCATCCCATGCAGGCCAGCCGGACTGCTAAGACATTTTCACACGAGAAGGGCTTTCCACTGCCACAAACTTCAAATATTTATTGAAATTGATTAGTTTATAAGCCGTAGGAATTAAAGAAGGTATAGTCAGTGGGTGTTTGGCGTGGGAGAAGGGGCACAAAGGTTAATTAGTCTGTGCCACTTGTGAATTAACATTTTATAAAATATATCTCGCACGAGAGTCTTGAGAGAGAAAGAGACGGATTCCATGGAGGTTGTTCAATTTCTTCAGGGCAAAATGGATGCCGTTCACAGAAATTTCTTGGCTTATGGAGGATATTAGAAATTGTGGAGGAAGGAGAATTGGATCAATCCAACATGTTAAGAGGACCTCAAATTCGGTAGCTCATGAGATTGCTCGTTTTGCGATGGAAACGGGGTAGAGATGGAGTGGTCTTCAGATCTTCCACATTGGTTATCGAGTCTTGTAGACTCTGATTTTCCTTAGTTTTGTTTCGTTCTATACATTACTCAAACAACAAAAAAATGGTGCTAACGAGTAACAATAAGGATTATTTATTAGAAACAAAGTCAAGAGTTTAAGAATGTCGTAATTGAAGGCTTTTTAAATTTAAAGACCAAGTTCATGTGCTAAGTTTATAATTATTTGACAGAAAAATATAAAAATAAAGTTGGTACATAATCAAGCTTAGAAGTCGACTATTGAGATAGGTTTTAAGGTGTAAATTTAAGTTTCTTCTTCAAGATTTCTTTCTCCAAGTATGAATCCTAACTTCGAGAGATTTTTTTCTACTTGGATCTCCAAATTTTGAGGTCTTCATACAACATGACACCACGTGACTAAATTGTTAATCTCTTTCTTCAACTACTTTTTAAATCTATCGACTTACGCCACATAAAATCTAATTCAAATCTAGAAATGTACCTAATTAATTTTTCTAAAAAGTTTCCCTATTAAATATAACTTAATTATTTAAGGTACCAATAGCTTTATTAAACGTCGGAAATTTGAGTCTATTTTTTTTAGTTCAACGATTATAGTTGGAGAGATTGAACTATCAAGAGACTTTTGAGATAGTAATTACTATTTTTGACAAATTCTTATGGTAGTAAAAAAATACATATGTTTAAGTTAATAAATTGGATTCTTTTTCCAAGCTTAAAGCTTTTGCAAGTCATCAACTGATACACATGTGTGGTCATATTTTAAGATGATATCAAAGCCGGAAGATCCTGCACATGCGTGAGAGCTTTGATCATATTTTAAGATGATATCAAAGCTGGAAGATCATGTGTTAAAAATGAGTATTATTGTTTGTTCTCATTAAATATTGATTTAAGTTTTTGGATTTATTATTAAGATAAGAGTGTTAACTTTAAGTGTCTTTCAAATTGGTAACAATTTAGTCATTGAACTTTAATATGTAACAATTTAGTTCTTATAATTTAAAGTTGATTGAACTTTAATATGTAACAATTTAGTTCTTATAATTTAAAGTTGGTAATGATTCTTTGTATGAAATTTTTTTTTATTAAATTACTTATATATATATATAGATTAATAAACTAATGAGAGACCAAATATGTTTATAAATTAGAAAAATTAAATTGTTAAGTAATAAAATTTGACTCTTGATTTTAATAAAATTTCTTCCAACAAGGACTAAAATGTTACAAATTTTAAACCACAGGGACTAAATCGTTATAAACTAAAATTCAAGAACTAAATCGACTAGATCATTACAACTAAATTGTTACTTTAGTTGAAAGCACCTGTTTTCTGACCAATAAAATTTTAATTTCAGGTCTTTCTATATAGTTTCCTTTTTGAATGGTTACACCTTAGTCCAAACATTAATACATCTCCTTTATTCAACACTACATCAACTTCAACTTTTGGTCCAAAGAAGTTCAATCCAGATTAATTTTTGAACAAGATCAAAGACAGACATATCAATTTAAAGAAAATCTAACCCAAAAACCGATTTTTTTTTCAAGAAAATAAAATCAAACTGATTGAACTAAAAAGGAAAGTGCAAAATTAATATGGCAATCATAAAAACCCAATACCACATCAGAAACCAGTAATCTCCTTTATTCAACACTACATCAACTTCAACCCTAAATCAAAATCAAAATCAAAATCAAAATCCAAGAGAACGAGCTGCAAGATGAAGAAACAACACTACAGGATCAGAGCTCAAGCGCGAAGAAGCGTAACACCGAAAGAGATTGTGCAAATCATCAAACCAAGCACCGCCAGAAAGGAAAATTTCCTGTTTGGTTTAAAATCCGTCGATTAGTCACCAAGTGTTTTCAGAAACAAATTCAATTAGATTTGTCGAAATCGAATCTGGACAGAGAGAGGTGTTCAGAAAACTCACCCGATTGTGAGGCGGTTTTCAGGCACGCCGGTGGCGTAACCTCTGAAATAGAAGAACCGACTTACGACGTAGAGAACACCGAACGAAGCGCTAAGGCAAGGATGCCTAATTCCTCCCAAAATCATGAGCATGAAGAACAGAGGCATCATTTCAAGCGAATTCTGGTGTCCTCTCTGTAGCAATTTATGCTCAAGATTTCAGACTCAATCGATTTCCTCCTCGAATCAAAAATTAGGGCAAATAAATTCAATATCGAAACAGAGCATACAGAATCACATACCTGAACGCAATTGAAGAGCTTAGCATCCTTGTTTTCGGATTCCAGGGCATACAGATTCGGGTAAAACACCTTATACCTAAAATTAAGAAGACAAAAGTCGAAATTAAAAGATCGATGTGATCGATATTCACCAAAGGAGAAGGAGAGAAAAGAGAAATTACTTCTTGCGAGCTCTGCCGACTTGGCCGGCCATCCAGAAATTAAGAAAGGTGTAGAGAACAAGAACGAGGACGACGTAGCCATATTCGGCGGGCAAAAGCTCGATTGCGGCCATTTTTGGAGGTGAGGAGTGAGGGCAAGAGAGCTCCAAGGTTGGGGTTCTTATCGTTATTCAGCAACTTTTTCTCCAAGCCATTGGGTTTTCTTTAATCGGATCGGTCAACTGTGAAATGTGAATGGATCGATGATTAGGGTTCGAGATTCTAGAAATTTCCGTGGGTGAGGTGAAGAACTGAACAGTTTTTGCTTTTTGATAATTATTTTCTTTTTTTAATTGGTTATTTTAATTGCTAATGCTGGATTTTAATGTCTAAACCACAGGCGGCCGGATTCGGAATTTCAGAGTGATGTTAAATCGTATTTAAAATTATTGTTGGGAAAATCGAAGGATGGGACGGGATGGGATATTGATATTCTATGACATTACGTTAAATAGTTAAATTATCAATTAATTCATTTGTAAAATTTTAATTTGTATTAATTTTTGTACATTGAAAGATATTTAAGGTGGTTAGTTGATATTGTGCTCATGTTTTAATGATTAAAATATATTTATATTAGTATCTTGGTTTATTTTAATTCTTTTTGTGATTTTTCAGAATTGATGTTGTGTGGTTGTTCATAGGAGTTTGTTCATAAGTGGAGTTTTTTTTGAGTTTGACCATTTAATTCTTTTTGTGATTTTTCAGAATTGATGTTGTGTGGTTGTTCATAGGAGTTTGTTCATAAGTGGAGTTTTTTTTGAGTTTTGACCAATGCAAGGTTCGAACTTAAAGAACTTTTTCATTTAAAATTTTATGATTTTAAATGTTTATAATTAATATAAATGATGATTAGAGAACTTTTTCATTTAAAATTTTATGATTTTAAAAATTTATAATTAATATAAATGATGATTAGAGACCAAGTCGGGGAGAATAACTATAAAATACATAAGGTTAGACAAATAAAAAAAATCAGTTTAATTTTATCTAAATATTTTATCAAAACAAAACATCTTGTTTTAAATCCTGCCCTATATGTTGTTATACCTATGTCATGGGTGAAATTGTGCTTCAAAGTTCGCATGAATGGAAAGGAAGCAAATAGATCGAGTTACCAAAATTAAATTATTTGGACTAAACCATCTAACCGACCAGACCAATCAAAATATGGTGGAATTGACCCGCACTCGAACCAACCGGCCAGGCCAAATCAAATTATCTGGACTAGACCATCTAACCAGACTCGACCGAACCAATCTAAATACGGTGGAATTGACCCACTCGAACCAACCCAAAGAGAGGATCGACTTCTCTTGAGGTATGTTCCCACACCAACAGAACTCTTTTGTTGATTTCGGCATTGTAGTGTACGTACTTCTAACACTAGACTCGTTGCAGTTTTATTATTGGAATTATGAATGTTCGTTGGAACTATCACGTCGAAGGGTGCATCCAAATGACTGCATCAACAATATATATAGTCTACTTCCCATATGTCATATTGTGTAATATGTGTAGAACCACCCCATTAGAACATACAAATCAAACATTGTCGATCTGAAAAACAAGGACCCATCGCTAAAATTTAAAATTTAAGCTAAAGATGATGCACATACAAGTAATAGCATTCATATTATACACAGCTTAAATAGTAGGTTTCTGAAGGCTTAAGCAAGATTGTTGGGAGTACTAGCTACTGTGCTGAGTTGCAGCTGCAGCTGCCTCCCAATTTGTGCCATCAAACTTGAGAATCTTCACATGGGCCAGAGTTCCAGGATCAACGCATCGGAAAGTGACCGAAACCCCATCTGGGGTTGACCGTGAATGGTAAAACGAGGTGATCCCACACATTCTGCAGAAGGTGTGTTTGGCAGTGTGAGTCCCAAAGCTGTAGCTCGAAACATACTTCTCAGACTCTCCCAAGAGCTGGAATTTGTCGCAAGCCACGCTGAAATGTGTATTGCCCCTCATGGAGCAGTCTGAACAGTTGCATTCCCAGGCTGTGACGCTCGCCGGTGCTTCCATTTTCCATCTTATTCTCTTGCAGTGGCACCCACCACTGTGCACCACCATTATCTCATCATCTGAAGAACCCATATCCCTTCAAGGCCCTTGCTGGAACATCATCATCATCATACCAAAAAAAAAAAAGAAATCCCCTCCATTAATTAGTCCATGCAATAACATATACCAAATTTACATGTCTACCTGAGGGAGATGAAAAGGGTGGCAGAAAAACAAGCAAGACAGGAAAACTTACCAGCAATTTAGAATCAATTTGTATGGTTTTTATTTCCTGGAGGTGAAGATCGGAAGAGTATATATAGTTGGGAAAAAGAATAAGTGAAGCGGTGATGACTGTGAATGAGATATTGTCCAGGTGGCCTTCAATGCGGAAGAGCTCACAATGCTCCCATGAATTTAACCTTATCTTTTGATTCTCATCTGAGGTTTTTACTTTATTTTTATTTTTAATTTTTGAGGGCTTTCTAGTATTTTATATATAATATTAATTCTAAATCATGGTGTAGGAATTTCGAACTTAAAAAAGTTACTAATGTGTTAATCTCTTAATTCAGCATGCTAGTTAGAGCCATTTTTTACGAGTCATCCACGTAAATTTGTATCCAACATAGGACTGTTATCTCAATTATGTTACCATGTATAAGCCATTTAGTTAATTTATCATCAAAGTTCCACATTAACTAAAGGTCTTCATGTATAGTAAAAAAAACTCAGTTCTGAAGCTAAACCAATTGATTGTCGATTTTCATCCAACTCAGTTCCTCTCCTACCCTCCCCTTCATGCATGTTCAATGTTCTTCTCCCTTATATGAGATCTCTCACTTGACTAACGCTTTCTTCTTCGACATTTTAGATATGTTGTATCTTTTTGGTCCATTTCCCTATCGGATCTTGGAAATCATCATATCGGTATTAGTTTCAGTGTCAAACCAACGCCGACCAATCAGTGATCAGGTCTAACATTGACTAAGAAAGAAGTAGATTTATAATATATGAAGCTGACATTTTCATTGATATGAGATCTGGAATCTATTGTCTTTTACTATAATTTGTTCTTTACCTTCGAGGTGAGAACAAATAAAATATTAGGAAATTAAGTTCATATATATGAGACAAGAAATAATAATAATAATAATAATAATAAAACATAGGAACTTGAAACAAACGACAAAGGAAAATGCTTGGCACATATAAAATCAGCAAGTGCATTCCTTCGTAATCATTCTATGGGACCTATGTGCCTTTCTTTTCCTTGGATTCCTTAAATTTCAAAAAGTAGAGAAAAATAATGGGGGACTTCTTTAAATTTAGAAATTAAACAATGCCTCCTAAATTTCTCTGTTTTCACCCAATTTTGGCTAATTCTTTATTTATTATTATTTTTTTATTWTTTTWWTTTTTTGTTATGATCTTGAGCACTGGACCCACTAATAAATTTGAAATGACATTTTGGTAAGGTAAAATTTGCTTCTCATAGGCCTACGAAAACTAAAGGAATAATACGAACAATTACTACATGAGAATGTGATATGTCTCGGGGCGTGTAATGGAGTAAATACACAATTGAATGACTATACCAACTTCTCCTTGTGATCATTAATTCTCCTAGTGGTGTGACTGTGACGAACGAACGGCTCCATAATGATATGATAACTCTCACGACTTCATTAATAATTTCACTCAAAAGACTTGATAATTTATCTCCTCGTTTATATATTATGAAATAATCCCTTCCTTTAACTATCGTGAGATTTTGTTTCCACTACTTTGCGATTCCAAACTAGAGCCTCTTTCAGTTTCAGCCATCAAAAAACACCAAAACTTCCGTCACAAAAAGAAAACCAATTCCCAAAAGAAGGAAAAAAAAAATGTTAAGAATCCTTCAAACTAAGCAAATTTTAGTGCAGACCCAAGAAAGTAACCAATCAATCAAGAACTAACCTTGCAGCTCATCAGTCATGGGCTGGGCTGCGGCGTCGCGTCGGCCGCCGGACGGAACTGCCAACATCCACATCCTCTGTTTTGCCGCACATCACCGAGGGCCTCCGCCAGAAACCTCTCAATTTCTTATGCTTCGTCTTCTTCTTGCTCTCAACTTGTGGTTCTGGGTCCAATATTTCCGAATCGAAGCTCCTGAGGCTGAAATTATTGCGATCAGCAGGGTCTAGAAGGTCAGATAAGCGGCGAGAAATGCTCTGGATCTCGTAGGCGTCGAGGAGGGAGTTGTGCGGATTAGGTGTTTGTGAATTGTCCTGAATGAGAGTCGTGATTGCGTGGAGCCTGTAGCGGGAGGGCTTGGGGAGAATGGTGGTCCTGGTGAGGCCGAATTCGCGCATGGGCTTGGCTTCGGAGCCTGATCCATGGTGGAACCAAGCCCACGCCGCCGCCTTCACCGCCGCTAAGTCGTCGCCGTCGGTGGGGGCGGGCTTCTTGCGGTCGGGGAAAGGGTTGAGGGAGACGGATGGCAATGGCATGGGAAGAGGGAAGAAATGGTCTGATTTTAGGAGAAAGTGGAATATATGGAAATGTAAAGCTCCACGTTATTGTATTTACAAAGTTTTTTATGTTCACTCACGTTACATTCTTGTAGGGACTTTTCTTTGTTTTTTTTTTTCTCCTTTCTTAGTTACCACTTACCACACGACAACTTATAGGTTCTTAAACTTTCGATATCATGTTTAATAGATCTCTAAAGTGTTCTTGACCTTTTAATACTGTATTTGATGAGTTCATAAACTTTCAATTTTGTCATTAATTTCTATTTGTATTTTTAGCTTTTATCCATTTTGGTTATTTTACTTTTAACTTTAATTCATTTTAGTCCATATACTTTCATTATATTCATTTTAGTCCTTGTATTTTTAAAGAGGGATTATTTTGGTTCCTTAATTTTATTTTTAATATCATTTTTCTATCACAATTTCAACACAACACTATATACAATATATTTCTTGAAATGTAATTATTATTTTATATTAAAGAGTTTTCGTATAATTTATGTTAAAAGATAACACTGCACTTCAACAAAATCAACGAGGGAAGGAATATCCATGACTCCAAAAATATCAAATCAGTTGGGATTTTATTGCGAAATAAATAGCCTATATATAAAAAAAAATTAAGTTAAAAAATTGACATTTACCAAACAAAGTTCCATACCATTGAAGACGGTCACATGTTCAAAATCTTTAGGAGGACAAAATTTCTCTCTTGATAATTGAGTTCGAACTTTTTTTTTTTTTTTTGTCTCACTTGGTTGAAAAGTGCCGTAACAAATTTACTTTTATCAAAATTATTATTCTAACGAAAAAATGTTTATTAATAGAATACTTTTTGTTTGGTTTTAACATTTTAAAAGTGCTTTTGATTGATATTTACCGAATAAATGTTTATAAAATAGACAAGTTACTAAAGTGCAAATAATTAAAGTTATAAGAAAATACTTAATAAAATATAAGCAATCAAAATTACAAAAATAAATTAGTGAGAGAAAGTAGTGTAGAGAGAGATTAGAGAGAAAAATAATATATGTAAAGAGAAGTAGTGAAAAAAAAGTATGTAAAAGAGAAAAATTATTGACAGAAAGACCATCTGTATAATAAGAAGTTAATTAATAAAAGTTAGGATATTTTACAACTCACAATTGAATTTTTTAATAGAAAAATGTCAAATATGGATACAAGTTCTGTTTCAAAAGAAAATATATGGAGACATAGCACATATAGTCATTCATTAGTGAACTGATGCATTTCTTTATTGTTAAATATTTTAAAATTTAAATCAGAAATAAAAATAATTTATGTAAGAAAATATTAAAAAAAAATGGCAAAATCGTCTTGAGAATATATCCTCACACCATGAAAATCTCCTTGGATGCCTCTTCATAGCATCTTAGGGTGCTTGGGCCTAATGCCTACTCAATGGAAAAAAATCTTTTTAAAATAAAAATAAAAATTTAATTAATAGGTACTAATTYACCATATACTTAAGTTTGAGTTTATAATTGGCCCATGTACTTAGTTGAGCATAAGTTAAATTTATTTTTAATTTTTTTATTTCATCATATCGACCAATAAATTTAAATGAGTGGTAAAATTAGTATTTATACTATAATTAATCAACTTTTCATAAAGATATGTACCCGTGACTACTTTTGTAGATATGATTCAATACTTGCTAGGTTTGTATTTCTTCTCCAGCATACTTAGGTGTTGAGTTTGTACTATTTTTATTGTTAGGTTAGTTCATAAGCAAAATTTTATTTTGGTTTTGAAAAGTCATTACTTCCATATCTGATATTCAAGTTTTATGTGTTAAATCAAATTTAGTAGCATTCATTCTGGTATTTGGACACAAAAATGGAAAAACAATCATATAATGGAGTAATTAATATAAAATTAGAAAACAGAATGAAACAGAGAGAAAAGAGACAAATATCCCATCCTGTTCCAACTTTATTATTAATTCCGAACACCTCTTAACCAAGTCAAAGTTCCCCCTTTGCAACTGAATAAGAAGAAAAAGCAATTTCTTGCGAGTAAAAAACTGGAAATTATGGAAACCCAATGGGAATTGAAGATATTGGGCAAATATATATCCTAAAGATTTGGGGAGTTCTGCTTCAGCATTTATGGCTTCCAAAGGATGGTAGTTTCTGCAATCATGGAAGTGACTGTGTATGGATCCATGTTAGAAGCTGGCCTTCTGTCCTCAAAGTATCCTTTGCCCGATTTCTCCGTGTCTCGCCCTACTCGAATCGAAGCTCCTCGGTTTGCAACACCCTACATGCCACAAACCAAATCAGAACTATTTATTTTAGTCGAAAGGAGTATGTATATCATAATAGTACTCGAGTCGAGTCAAGGATGTTATTTATGGTTGTTTGTTTACCCATAAGAAGGAGTTGATATCGGCTGTTTCGTGTCGACCGGTGAGACGACGCTCGTTGCCTTCTCCATATGCGGCAATGTGTTCTTTGTGCCGCAGCCCCAATTTTTCTATGGCTTTCTTGATCACCTCGTAGCCTCCTTCCTTTCTCATGGACTTGGTACTGAAAATATTTTACACAAATGTCATCCATAAGTTCACGGACTAAAATATAATTATAAAAAAAATGTATTTAATTTATTACCTGTAGTTTGTATGGGCACCAGCTCCATTCCAATCACCCTGATATTTGAATGAAGAGACAAAATTCAGTTGACATCGGGAAAAAAAAAAAGAAAAAAGAAAAAGGAAAATGAAGAATGGAAATTGTAATTTGAAGTCTTGAACCTGAATTGGTTTGGGGTCAAGAGAAAGAACCACACCCGCAATTTCCGTAATCCTCTGTTAATTAGAGACCAAATATAGATTATTATTTTGTAAATTAAAAAAAAAAAAACATTTTGTTGGTTGGAATTTTTTTGAAGTTACCTCCAAAATGTACCGAGCGATCCACAGCTCATCCGCCGCCGATATGCCCACCGAAGGACCAACTTGAAATTCCCACTGCATAGCCAGCACCACGAATTTGGATTACAAATTTTTGAAGTTTAGAAATTTTTAATTCTAATAACTTCGTTGGTAGATCCTACCAACATTTTAAAGAATATTAAAATTTAAAAATTAAATTTATAATTGAGAAAATTATAATAGTTGACACTGGGTTTGCAAATTTGTTACTCAAAAAGTTAATTTACAAAACATTTTTAGTTGTCACTGTACTTCCAACTTTTTTTCATTTTAATTTCTATAATTTCAGAATTGTCACTACAATTCCAACTTTTTTTCATTTTAGTTTCTATAATTTCATAATGTTTACATTAGCCTCTCTTATACACAATGAAAACCATTTTATATAAATTTATGGCTATATTTTCATAAATTGTGTGAGTGAAGTATAATACTAAAAGAGAAACAAGATAGAAATAGAAAAAAAAAACTAAAATGGTTCTTCCTTATAAATATAGGGATTAAAATAAGTCGTTTAAATTTATAAAAACTAAAATGAATCAAAATTGAAAATACAGATACTAAAGTAAACATTTTAGAAGTATAAAAGTCAAAATAAATAAATAATCAAAGGTAGGAAATAATATTTTGAGCTAAAAGTTAATAATTGTAAAATGAAGGAAGTTTAAAGGAGGCAAGGAAGGCGAACCTGACCGGGCATGACTTCGCCGTTGATGCCGCTGATGTTGACGCCGGCGTATAGACACGCCTTGTAATGCGCATCAACGATGTCGCGCCCGAATGTTTTGTCAGCGCCCGCACTGCAGTAATATGGCCCCTGTCACCCAATTAAAATCCCAAATCAAAAATCAATTTCATAAACTTTCTTCACACACAAGAAAAATAAATAAATAAATCCAAAGTGAAGGCAAAATTATTATGGGTCACCTGAGGCCCAGGAAACCCGCCAATCGGCCATCCAATAGGCCATTTTACATCCCTCTGCAACAGCGTATACTCCTGCTCAATTCCATACCTGTTCTCTCTCCAAATTTTTAACCATGTCACAAAATTAAATCCTCAACCCACCACCAATTTTTCTTTCTTAATCGATTCAAAACCAAACCAAAATACCATGGCTCCTCGGCTACTACATCTGGATGGCTGAAGATCTTCGTCGCCGCGTGCCTCTTGTTTGTCGGAATCGGCTCTCCGCCCGGAGYGTAGGTATCACACATCACCTAACAAACCGTGTTTAAATATTTAATATATGAATTAAATTTATCCGATTAAGCAGTAATTTATTCATCTTAATAGCATATATGATATCCCACGCAAGAAAAATGATGAAAAATTAAAACTTACAAGAATGTTGTTTCCTCGTCTGAAGGGATCCCTGAAAATTGCTTGTGGGCTGTTTTCATTACACAAAAAACAAGGAAATTAAATTGAACTTATTCACCGTAATATACAGATAAAATGATTTTTTTTAAGGAGTTTAAAAAACTTACTATAAGATAACTTCACTGTCCTCTCCAGGGGCTTGGCCGGTGCTGGAACCGTCATAGTTCCACTTGGGCAGCTTCGAGGGATCGCTAACAGGCCCTGCAACAGTCTTCACTTCCCCAAAATTTAAAGTTAAAATTAACAAAGGAAAAAACAGAACAGAACAGAGAAAAACAACAAAACTTTGTCTCAATTCAAACAAAAAAAGTTTTGTTTTTGTATACCCTTGCTTTGCTTCTGACGTCGGTACCAGATCCACCGATCCTGTTGAAATAAAGCAGAAACAAAAAATGGGAATCGGAAAAGAAAGAAAATTGAAGATGATGGAGGTTTTAAAGAGGGGCCGGGGCTGACCATATGTACTCGGCAATGACCTTGTCGGTGAATTCGGAGATATTGAGGTTGATAAGATCGGAGAGGGAAGACATTTCTGATTTCTTTTCTGGTCTGAAAATAGGAATTTGGGCTTCAACGAAACTCACAGAGATGAACAGAGCTGTGGTCGGGGTAGGCTTTTTATAGCCGCGAACAACCCAAGAAATTCTTTTTTTTTTCTTTTTCTTTCTCGATTGTGTCTCGGTCAATTCGATTGTTGAAATTGTGTTTATTTTATTTGTTAATTTCGGCTGTGATTTAAGAAAGAAAAGAAAAAGGGCGGTGACTTCTGAAAAGGGAAATCCGTGTTGAGAATCGGATATTATTCCTTTGTGTTGATTTGTGATCTGTACTCTTCTTTTGTTTGTTTGTTTGGCAAAGTGATAGACTGATAGGGGTGGAAGAATTTAGTTAAATACTAGATTTAACTGCTAATTGCAGGGGTGATATCTGTAAACTGTTCATTGATTGCAATAGCAATTTTCTAAATTGTAAGGTTTGGAAATTGCTTTGTAGTGTTGAAAATTTCGGCTGAATAGAGTAGCAACAGAGCACAATTTGACGGGTTAAGTCATACATTTATAATAAAAAAAACTTGTGAGTTCGAATCCACACTGACATATGTTGTACTTAAAAAAAATTAAATGTAATAGATAGTTTTTAGTTTCATTCTTAATCCTCTAGAACATTCAATAGCATCGTTCGTGTATTACAAATTTCTGAATATGTTATTTTGAAAAAAGATCGTTAAAAATTGTTATTATTTTTTTAACAAAAACTTAGATGTACTAATTAAATTATTACTCTATTAAGAAATGTTTAGATGAAGAGATAAGCCACTTGAATGTTGTTTGACGTATGAAACTCCATCTAACAACTTGTTCAAATGACCTATCTGTATATCTCAATGTATTAATAAAATGATAATTTAATGATAAATTAGTTTTTTATTAATAAAAGTCGAACAAATATTTTTATATAAATTATTTAATTTATAATTTTTAATAAAAAATTAATGATCAGATTGAGAATTACTTAAAATATTTGGAAACTAATGATTTAATTGAGAAACTTTTATGCTTCATATATTTTGTTGTCTAAAATTTCAAATTATTTTTATGATCCAATTTTTCAATGTTGGTTAAAGAAATATTTTTGGTTGAGTCGGTGTACTCCTAAATTTGTAATAATTTGTCTCTAAAATCGTGCCTCTCCAATAATCTCATAAAACAATCATCTAATTATACAATATTTAATTGTTAAAAAAATTCATAAGATATTAAATTTTAGGAATGCGATCATCGTAGTTGAACTTATTCCTCCTAAATTTTTTAGAGTTTACTAATGTGATGATTAACTCAATTATATTTTTAGAAAGTCAATCGAACTTGAGTACATTCATCTTTTAAGATAAAGTTTGACATTTTATATTTCTTTTTAAGTATTCTCTATAATCAAAACTATATTTACAGCACGTTTATTACGGTGCCTTAAAAATGGGAAGTAACGAGGCCTGCCTAAAAGCATAGCATAGTAATAAAAACTAAGCACTAGAAAAATTATGAGAATGGAAATGTGCATAATCGTTTTAACAATTTATTATTATTATTATTATCTTTGAATTGGAATAAGAGTAATTTATCGGGAAAAAGAAATAATAAAATATGTGTTTGGCACTTCCTTTAGACAAATTTTAAAAATTATCCGTGGCACGTGGCAGTAAATAACATTCGCAAAGAAAAAGAAGGAAAAAATGTGGCAGTCAATAATTGAACGAAAGAGAAGACCAAAGACGGCAAGACAAGAACATGCTCCCACGTGGCTCTTATAGGTCGACAAAGATTTCATTTCTTCCTTCTCTTTTTCACTCTTAGACTTGGACACCTTTTTCTTTTTTTTTTCCAAGAAAAATTAATATTTGTTATTTAATATTCATTAATTTCTCAAAAAAATTAATATTAATTAGGCATTTTTATAAATAAAAATAATAAAATAATATATTTATTTATATTTAGAAGAAATATATAAACAAGAAACAAGAAATTTAAAATATAAAAAAAATGAAAAACAAAAATAATTACCAAATACTTGTATCTATAAAAGAAAATTAAAAACGAGTTTCTTAGGTTTATAAACAGAAAATGTCATGAAACATGCTTTTAAAAGAATGCAACCATAAAATAATATTATTTTAAATCTTTTTCTTCAACGTGGAAGTTGGGATCCATGCCAAATTGAATATAATAATGATTTAAATTCTTAAAGATCTTTTTTTTAATTCAATAATAGAGGGAGGTTAGAATATGTACCTCAACTAATTGAGTTATATTTAAATTGGTAAAATAATTAAATTTTACCAATTTTGATACATAATTAAATTTTGATTATCCATATATGTAAAAATAATTTAAAGATATAAAAAAATTATCGGGGAAGATTTGAACTTACGATCTCCTAGTAAAATAGAATATAGATACTTTTACTGGAGATCAGATTGATAAAAATAAGAATAAAAATAAAAAATTAAAATTAGTTTAATGGAGCAAGATATGATCCTATATGGTTGGTTCCATTCCATATATATGATTCGATTCTTGGAACAAAAACAAGTGGCCTACAACACTCTGAGTCGTATTGGGGCCCACCATACATCAAATTTCTCAAATCAAATCACTTCCTACCGTCCATTTTGAGTATTGGAACAACTATTTTTATACTCCAATTCGTCCATGTGAACTTAATTGCGGTTAGTATTTTTGGTTGTTTGATTACATTTTATGCCTACTTGCCACGAACTTGTAGGAACTAGAATTAACAATGTCACCTTTCCTTTCTTATTTCGATAGGATTTCTGTTGGCTCCCTTTAGAGAGACTCGTTTTACCCAACATAATTTTTCCTTATACAATCATTAAGACTTGTTTGCCATTATATTTTTATTTTTATGTTTTTTAAAATTAAGCCTGTAAAACACTATTTATGTATATATACACACATACATATACATTTTTTTTTACTTTTTAATATTTTTTTCTCGATATTCGTGAGTGTTYGGACTAACTTAGAACCTACAACATTTGATGGCGAGAAACACATATAAAGTAGGTGCCTATCATGAGATTTGAATCCATTCCCTCCTAATTAACTCTAATCCATTTGGACCAATGATCTACCTATAATGGTTAAAAATATAGTTTTTTTAAAAAATAGTTTTCAAAGTTTTTGTTTTTAGAATTTGGCGAAGAATTGAAATGTGTTGGTAAGAAAAATGAAAACATACTAAGAAAATTATGAGCAAACAAACATAATTCTTAAAAAGAGAAAATTAAAAATGAAATAGTTATGGAAGATGTTACATAATAATTTTTTGTAAAAGGAAAAAAAATCCATTAAGTTGTTATTAAATTTTCAAATAAACTAACCTAAATAGAGAACAACTAGTTAAAAGCATGTATACTAAGGAAAAAATTGACATTATTGAACTAAAAAATACAAATAATATCGAAAGCTATAAAATAACTCGAGCCTACTCAACTAATTAAAAATATATATATAGAAAAAAAGGTAAGTAAGTATACCAAATTTTGCGAAGAATGATAGGGGTGTGGGGATCCTAGCCACATGCTTTAGTTGGTACGGATTTTCTTTTTTTAAAATCAACATAAATATAAATAGAGGGAGGAAAATAACTTATCTTTGGTTGGAAAAATAATAATGTTAAAAAGTAATTGACATGAGCTTAGTTCAATGATAATTGTCACCTATTTATAATCTAAATGTTATGAGTTCAATTTTTCCACCCTACTGTCTCTACTCACAAAAAAAAAATAGTACTAAAAGTAAAAACGAATTTGTTTTTCTTAGCGAAGTTTTTTTAGGGCATCTTTGGTAGAGAATTTAAATTATACTTATTGTTTTTTGATTCACTAAATCAAATGGATTTTATTTGGAATGGTTGTTTTGAAAGCTGTGTTTTTGGATTCTATAATCCAAATAGAGAAAATTCTGAAAATAACTATGGTATGTTTTTTACTGTTTTCAAATTTTGAATCCAAAACTTGTAAAATGTACAATTATATTTAAAAATATAAGAACTTTGAAAACCATTTCACGTTATAAAATGATTTCATTTTTGTTAAAATTAAAATATTTAAAATATAAATATATTATAAATGACATAATATTGTCAAAATACTAATTCTATAAAAAAAATATTATAACATTTATCTTAATAAATTAATTAATAATATTTTAGATTAAACTAAATATTTAATAATAGGTGACGACTTTATTTAAAAAACACATTATTTTTTTATATTTAAATTTAATTTTCATTTTTGTACCAAATACATATTTGAAAACATGGAATATTTGAGATTTTAGTTTTTAGATCATTGAACCCTTAGTTGTTCTGTGTTGTCCAAGAGAAAGAAGTAGAAAAGCTTTGTGTTTTTTTACCATGTCCTGTGGGATGGTTAGTATGTGTGGGTGAACATCGGTTGGTCGGGATCAATTTGATGTCGAAAACTGACCTAGTCAATTTCCAAAGCTAGAAATCGATGGTTTTTTTTAACCATTTTTGCTCCGGCTGACCGACCATCGGTTTGGTCGGTCGATTCGTCGAAAAATCAACACTTAAAAAAAAAATGAAAGGGGTGAGAGTCATGGGATACCAAACGAAGAAGTAAACTATGAGGGTGGAATGTGGGAGTGAGAAGACGAAGAAGAGGGTGTCTGTAGAGTAGGCTGTGGGGCTGGGAACTAGGAAGAAGAAAAGAAAAGAAAAGAACAGAACCTACGAGAAAGATGAAGAGAAGAAAATTTAAAAATGGAGGGGAGAGAAGAGAGAAAGAAAATGAGAGTACGTGGAAGAAGAAAGATAAATTAAAATATAAAACTAAATAAAAAAAGATAACTAAAAAAAGGTAAATAAGAAAAAGTTCAAAACTGCTGCAGCAACAATAGACTAAACTTTTTTTTTTTAATACTAAAAATAATCGGTCGGTCGAAAATCATTTCTCTGACCAAACTGACCGATTATAACTCGATTTTTCTTTTTGTAAATTTATCACGCAATGTCACAAGTATTAATTATAATATAGTTCTTTTTAATAAAGAAACATGCATTGAAATTAGAAAAAACAAGTAAACTTGAGCATAATTTATCTAGTTAAGATATATATTTTTGAACAAAAGGTCGAAAGCTAACATCATTAGTCTTACAAAAATCATAATCCCGACTAGTTAGGTGATAGAAGTGCAACCATATACCGCATTTGTTGATCTCCACCTCTTTGTTGAACTAAAATATTAAGTGAAACTTAATAGGAACATATAGTATGTGAAACTTTTTTTTTTTCTTTTAATTATTATCTATGTTTGAAAAAGTTATATTCTTTCCGAAGGATGGCTCATTTAGGGAACATATTCTCAAATTCTTCTAGTGACGAACTTTAATAAATTAAATGGCTTCAGGACTGTTTTTGCAAGTGCCCATGGTTCCCCCATGACACAATCGAAGGAGGAACTTGATCCTCTCGAAAGTTCTTCAAAATTATATCTTAATTTGTATACGCTTTTTAAGGAACACTTAATTAAACATTGTAATTATTAAATACATTAAAGAAATAAAAACAGTACTTATAGCAGGCACTTTTTTCTTTTGAAATTATATTTCGAAAGCTCGGGTCAATGAATTAACGTAAGTTTAATTAAATTTTCTCCTCAACCTTAGGTATCGGAAATTAACCCAAGACCACATGTGATTATCAATATTGACGGAGTGAAAATTATATTATAAGAGTTAAAATCATTATTGAACTCAAAAATTTAAGTGGGTGGATTTACGGTAAAAACTTATATTTCATTTTTTTTTTCAAAAAATGAAATATAAATTTTATGTATTTGTGGTCCAAGTGGATGATATCATTTCTATTAATATTCCACAATGATAGTGGCTTCTTTGTATTTAGTTGTTGTCGATTGTCACAAGGAGAAAAAAATATTAAAATTTAGGTGAGTTGAGATTTGTTTTTTCAATTTAAAAATATGTAGGGATGAAAATTTGAAATTTCCAATTTTCTTAACTAATTGAACTACCATAAGATTGACTAATGAATGGGAATTGCGAGAGGCTTGTTAGCAGCACCAATATTCATATTCCAAAGCGGTCGCTCCAACTCCACTCCAAGCCTACAGTTGTTGTAAGCCATCTATGTGAACATAAAGTTGCCAAGAACTATTCAATCCACCTTGTTTCTGGGATTTATTCTTAAAGTTAAGGCCATGTTCTTTGGTTTCAGTTGTGTGATCCATGTTGGATATAACAAGGACCATCACTTTTATGTATGTTTTTTGTTAGATCGTAAGATGCCCAAATTAAATCAAATCAAGAGTGGGGGAAGTACAAAGAGTTATTTGATGTGCCTGAGGGCGTGGGTCGAGTTAGTGGGTGTGCATGAAATTTGGAACCCACAGACAAGACAGCACAGGAGAAAAGAGAAAATTAATTAAGATTCGACAATATCGAAAAAAAGCTCTTTTTTTTTCCTCAAAGGATAAAAATTACTAAGGAAAAAAAAAATAAAGAGAGAAAAATTTTAAATGGAAAAATAAATATATATTTACAAAAAATTTTGGGGAGAAAAATTAGAAAACGATGTTAAGGATGAATAAACCACCACTCAACCTAAAAATTTAAGTCGATGGGYTGAGTAAATTTAATTCATTTATATGGATTCTAAACAAACAAAATAGAAATTTTCGATGTAGCTTTTGGTTTGAGTATTACGAGTTAACCCTAAGCCTTAAGTTAAAAGGAGATTAACATAAAGGTAAATATTGTCCTTAATTTCGCGCTGTCATATAACTTAATAAAAAAGAAAGGGCATGTGAAGAAGTGCATTTAAAGATGGTGTCAGTTCAGACCAAGACCGAACTGGGCATCTATCCAAAAGTGCTTGGTTTCCTATTTTTATGGAAAATAAACAGTATAATTCAAATGGGGACTTCTTCCATTCTCCAACGGTTACTTTTTCATCCGTTATAAATACCAATTTGAACGAACATGGTTGCTATGCAAAAACTTGCTAACTATTTACTTATCATTTATCATTCAGCATAAGACTAACAAGATCGTCGGAATACTAATTTGTTTTATAGATTTTTCTATCTTAGAGTGTTTTCGAAGATTTATTGTGACTATTGATAATTAATTTTTTGATACGAACACTGTCTACAAATTTCATTTAAAGTGACTCATTATCTTATTAATTTTAATACTATATTTGGTGTTAAGTTTTATAAATAAATACATGCCATAAATTGCAATAAGAATCTACTAGAACAAAAAAGTTCAACATTTTAAAAGATTCCAATTTTGTAAATAGTTGTAGCCATATGTAAAGATAAGTAAAAATCCCTGTACAATGACCATAGCGCGTTTCCTCAAAAAAAAAAAAAAAAAAAAAAGACAATAGCGCGAAGTCTAGGAGTTAGGACCATAGGCTAGATGTTGAAAATTGGGCCTTAAACCCAGCCTAATAACCAGTTCATACACAGTAGGTCAGGCCCAATAAGAGCTCGGCCCATGAAATCGTCAGCTCCTCGCTCCCGCTCGAATTCAAAAATGTCGAAGTCTCTGCAATGAGCAATGTGAAGTTTCGTCTCCATTCTCACTAGGGAGGGCGAGGGAGATCATGGGAGTTTCTAAGAGAGAAGCGGCTATGACTGAGGAAGCAGTAGAAGCACAGGATCTATTGCCTCAGAAAATAGCGAAAATCCTCGACGAAGCACGGTTATCAAACGCCGCGCACAACCGCAAGCTCAAGGAGCTATGTGTTCTACGTTCCAAATCCAAGTCTCCTTTGGAATTCCTTACCGCATTCTCCAAAACCCTCACCCCTCTCTTCAGTTTCCACCGCAGAATTACCTCCGCCGAGCGCGTCGTTCGCTTCATTTCCCTTTTTGCCACTGCTAGAGACGCCAATTTCGATTCACATGCTGACGAGTTCTTGGAGGAATTTCTGAAGTTTCTTCTCGCGGGATCTTGCGCAGCAAATAAGTCTGCTAGGTTCCGCGCGTGCCAGATTGTTTCTGAGGTGAGATCCTAAACTGCGTTACAGTTTTCTTGTTCTCGGAGTTGGAAAAGTGATATGGACTTAGGTTTTCTTTTCTTCCTTTGTTTGTTTGTTTCTTTTTTATTAAATTGTACGATAGAATTATACCTTGCCATCTGCTTGCTTTCTAGAGCTGAACTCAACTGATTGGCACGAGTTTGAAATAATTTGGAATTTGAATTTTGTGTCCCGTTTTCTAACTGTCATTTCCTTATCCGTTTGCTGGAAAATGAAAAGAATTCTGGAATTAAGTAGTTCACGCGGGTAAAGCGGAATATTATGCGTCTCGAGTTTCCTCAAATGCTTTAAACGATAGACTCGATTTTGTCGCGGAATCTGGGAACTGAGATTGGAGAGGTCAATACGAGGAGTTCTAGTAGTTTTGGGTACTTTTGTTCCTAATAAATTAAACTTGCAAATCGAAATACTATTTTCAAATTTCCTGCGTTTCATTTTTTCGATGTTCCTCTAGTAAAGCAAAAACAATCTGAAGAGCTGTTGATTTATAGGTATTTGATGAGACCTTGCAATTTTCCTTAAACTTTTGAGCGTCGGATGCTCTTATTCATGATTTTATAGGAGTCTTTTACTGAATATTTATTCGCACTACTTTTAGTTGACTGCTGGTATGCTATAGTTCAGTTTCGCTGTTGCTAATTTTCACGATAACTTTGTTGTTGATCGATTCATTTATAGATCATCATGCGGCTACCAGATGATGCAGAAGTCAGCAATGAACTCTGGGATGAAGTTGTAGATCACATGAAGCTGCGAGTGCAGGACAAGGTTCCTTTAATCCGCATGTTTGCAGTTCGCGCTCTTTCACGCTTTGCAAATGATAGTGAAAACAGTGATATCCTCGATTTATTTCTCGAGGTGCTTCCTATGGAGCAAAATGCGGTGAGTATGTTAAGTAGTTTAAATTGTTATATATACGTGGGTACACAAACAAACTGTTTTTGTCACTTTGATGTAATTCGTCTATTTTTCTCGTACAAAGAAAAACTTTAAGCATCTTTTGAATGTCTTTTGAAACCTATTGCTCTAACAGTTACATGCAGGTTGTTAATCTATTTTTCCTCCTTAACAGCTAAGGATCAATCAAGTTGCTTGCACATTCACAATGCAATAATGCCTTTAAATAATTAAGTTCAATCATGTTTCACATTTACAAATGGTTATGGTTATATCTATAAGAGTGCCTCCAATTTCGGTGGTTCAATCTTATTGTTTGCAGGAGGTCAGGAAAACAGTATTACTATCATTGCCACCTTCTAATACGACTTTGCAAGTGATAATTGATTGGACCTTGGATGTGAGCGAGTCTGTCCGCAAAGCAGCATATTGTATATTAGCTAATAAATTTCCTCTTCAAAGTCTCAGGTAATCTACAGGAAGACACCTTATTTTCTTTTACAGTAGGGTCCAGGTTGGATGGGAAAAATTTTCCTTTCTTAGTACTCCTGCCTATAAGTCTTTGCTAGAATGTATGTGACTTAGATATTTTGGTTTGTTCTTTTTTAATAGCATCAAACAAAGGACGATAATTTTACAGAGGGGACTTGCTGATCGTTCTCAAGCTGTTTCAAGGGAGTGTTTAAAACTAATGACAGATGAATGGCTTACTAAATGCTGCCATGGCAATCCTGTAGAATTGCTCAAGTATCTTGATGTTGAAACCTATGAACGTGTTGGTGAATCTGTTATGGGGGCCTTATTAGGAGCGAATTTGTTGAAACTGCATGATGGTGAAAGCATCCGCCATTATATACTAACTGCGGGTGACGGGGCCGAAGGTTAGTGAGCTTGTCCAATATTCAAATACTTATGGTTTCCATATTTCTAACTTTTCATGGGTGATTCATGGTAGTCAATTTATGCAATGTATCATTATTGCCATGTCCTAGCCTATCCTTCCATAATTGGAAGGCTTGAGCAAGCAAACAGAAGAGATTATTATTATTATTATTTTTTTAGCTCCAAGTGGTTACATTTAAATTAAAAAGCCCATTACAAACCTGTAGGTAAATGTTCCCAACTCGTTGCTCATTGAAGTGGTTGTAATTGCTGGAGTAATTTGCTCTAGTGATTTCAACACTTCAATCGCTGCCAACTTATTTGCTCATTTAACTCGATGAAAGCATTTCATTATACTGTGAGTTAGGGTTGTACATGCTATGGTAAAATGATGGTTCCCTCTCTTGATATTAGGAGACTCACTACATTGCACCCCAGGTATTCAACTTATGGAAGCGGAAGTTTCTCTATACTGGAGAACCATTTGTAAGCATATCCTAACAGAAGCGCAGGTAAGTATATCCGTTGCATCTCCCCATCATTTTATTCTTGATTCGTGTTTGTCAAACTCAATACCTATGTGTAGTAAATATTGGGTGAAAAATAATCTTTCTAGAGATTTGTAGGCTAGTTTTTATTATAAATGAAAAATTCAAAATGGGGCCCTCTCGAGATTTGGCCCTCGCGGGACAAGGAACCCCTTGTTGAATTGGGAATGAGAGTTTTCCTCAAATTAATTTTAGGATTTATTGCCTAGACCCTAAACCCCGACTGTCATCACTCTCGACTTATTTATATATAATTGAACTTTTTTTTATGATCTAGTAAAAAGTTTGTATGGTAGGACTGCTTGAGCAAATGATGACAGATTCGAGTAGACTTTTCGTGGGATATAGGTATAATTTATGAACTTAGCAAGATGAAAGTTGTTGAGGGATGTTTGAAACCTTATATTAGCAGCAATTAGATCAAGGAAGAGTGGTGCAAATAAAGGAATTCCTTGGCTCCATAATGCTATTGCTATGTTGTCCCACATCATGGTAAAAGTGCTAAGCCCTTTATAGTCATCCATAAAATTTCACTTCTAATGCATTTTTGGTGTTTGTCTCCTCGAAAACTCTATTGGACCTTTACTCATATGAAAACTTGTTCTCTTATGAGCGATCCTACTCCTTTAGGGAAGGGATTTAGCCTCATTCTCTGACAACTAATCTAGCATGTGATTACAATAATATAAATAATTCTCCAATTTAATTTAACTTTACTTGTTCACGGAAGCAATTTTTAGATATGAGCTTCTCACAATCATCCACGACCCTTAATTTTGGGAGAAAGGTATCCCTTTAAGAGAGTAAAGGGTAAAGAGTGTCATTTTTATTTATTCATTTCTTTTGCCTTTTTCATGTTTAAGTAGGTAAATTATAAGAATTAGTAATTCTATATTTTTTCTGACACCAAATATTGTAGGATCAGACGGTTGTCTTGTGAGATTAGTTGAGGTGCGCGTAAGCTGGTCCGGACACTCATAAATATAAAAAAAAAATTATAAGTTCAGTCTTTCGATGGTTCAGTTCATTTAGTTCTTAAACTTAATTTTTTTTTATAATTATTTTCTCTTTGAATTATAATTTGATATTGTCCTAACTAATAATAACATTCATAATTGATAATGTAGCATGTCTATGGTACAAACTCCAGTTGATTTGACACAACTTGCATACAAATGATAAATGGTAAAATAAACAATTGAACAAAATAAAGTAAACATGCAATATATTCTGTAGGAAATCTCTTTTATTGATGTGCCACTCTGTTCTTCCATTTGTCCATTTCTTTTTGTCATGTTATGCCAAATAAGTCAATATGTATCCAAAAAGGACGCCACATCATCGTTTTGTCAACCAAGTCATCATTTAGTCGGTGGCGTTAGCGGTAAGAACATAACAATTCAAAGTTTAGCTACGAAACTGAAGATTTAGGAACAATTTGTAAGTTAACCTTACATATTCATTTTTTTTGTTTCTTAATTGTATTTAAATCTTTTTAATCATCATAGTACGGCGACTAAATTAGTAAATGATTTGGATTTGAATTTCTACACTTCAATGCATCAATGTAAATAAGTTCCTGAAATTGAGCCATCGTGGGGTTGAGTTTTCTCGAACATGACAACATACCAGACTTCATATCAACTGATAATTTGATCTTTGTAAAATTTTCTTGGGTAGGAAAAAGGTTCTGATGCTGCAGCCACTATGGGTACTGAAGCAGCGGTATATGCAGCTGAAGCTTCGGATAAAAATGATCTTTTAGAGAAAATTCTTCCTGCCACAATTTCTGATTATGTAGGCCTAGTCAAAGCTCATATCAATGCAGGTGGGTTTTTCTCTTAAAGCAAGAATATGGTACATTGTTGTTGCTAAGCAACCTAAAACGACCTTGTAATTTCAGGGTCCAGCTATCGGTTTGCATCAAGACAACTACTTTTGCTTGGAAGAATGCTGGATTTTTCTGATGCTGCAAATAGGAAGATTGCTGGTGCATTTCTGCGGGAAGTGTTGCATATGTCTCCGGATCATGAAGTGGATGATGATGGGAACTTGGTGGTTCTAGGGGATGGAATCAATCTTGGAGGAGATAGAGATTGGGCAGTTGCTGTGTCTGGTTTGGTAAAGAAAGTCCATGCTGCTGCTGGTGAATTTGAAGAAATTATTCTTGAGGTAGTTGAAGAACTTGCTCGACCATGCAGAGAGAGAACTGCAAACTTTATTCAGTGGATGCACTGTCTTGCTGTGACAAGTCTTCTCCTGGAAAATGCAAAATCATTGAATTTTATTAATGGAAAAGTCACAGGACCTGCTGAACTATTGGAGTCGATATTGCTTCCAGGGGTAAAGAAAATTTTGTAAATCAGCTGTTTGATTTTGCATATTTCTCGATATTGATAATCTGTTCTTGCATATTGAATTTTTGAAAAGCGGTTGACAATTTCCTTTATATGATCAGTTGTTTCACCATACCATATGTATCATTTCTTACGCATTGCCCAAAAGTTGATTCAGTAAAACAATTTTTATCTGTGAATACCCTCCAAGTCGCTAGCTGATACTGACACTTTGAACCATGGTTAGCTAGGACATGTACTACTTTGTGTGTGTGTGTGTGTATGATTAGCCAATTATATCAGAATGTGATTCACTTGTGGCTATTGTTACTCCTATATAGAAGGGGAAAAACTACTATTTGGAAATCAATTGAAGTATGAGGTGGAGTGTTCTAGGTATAGCTCCTCTCTTTTTGTGAAAGTCTGCAATATTTGCATCAATTGCATGAGTGGTGATTATATGCTGCTTGGGCAGCAATCCTTGCGGCATTCTGCAGCTTGATTTATGTTTTGGAGTTATGTAGTTCAGAACTCAAATTATCCAACACTAACTTTATTCATTTTGTATTGCAGGCAAAACATGTTCATTTAGATGTTCAAAGAATTAGCATACGTTGTCTTGGCCTCTTTGGATTGCTAGATAAAAGACCAAATGAGAAAGTTCTTAAACAGTTGAGACATTCCTTCATTACGGGGCTTACCCCAATCAGCACAATGTCTTGCAAGGCATTATTTGATCTTGTAATGTGGCATGGTCCCCAGGAGGTTGACAAGGCCTTGGGACAGGATCAATCACTGCAGTCTTCATTTGATGGGACATCTTTTCGTTCTATGAACTTATCTGAAGCAGATGAGGATTTTAATATGGGATCACTTGATCTCTTATATGCTGGACTTGACAACGATGAAAGGTACAGCCCTTCAGCAACTAATGAAATTGAGTCGGTTCAAACCATTGTTGCAGAGGGGTTTGCAAAGATTCTTCTTCTGAGTGAAAACTATCCAAGCATACCAGCATCTCTACATCCTCCACTTTTAAGCAAGCTTTTAAACATTTATTTTTCCAGTGAGAAAGATCTCGAGAGGTGGTTCCTTCTGCACTTTTATTTTACAAATCTAATTTACCATTTAAATATTTAAACATTTAAGACTTCAATTGATTTTGTCTTAAATCAGGTTGAAACAATGCCTATCTGTATTCTTTGAGCATTATCCATCCCTCACAGTTGCTCACAAGGTAAGTTAAGTTTAACTTCAAATGGATATATTTTCTATACACCTGAGGAAGCTTGAACTTGTAATTTCTCAGCTGAGTGGTATATTTTACTCGCAGAGGTGGATATCTGAGACTTTTGTCCCATTTATGCGTTCAATGTGGCCAGGCATGAATGGAAATGTCGGAGGTTCTGCTGTTGAGGTAACAAATATGCGCAAACAGGTAGTCCAAGCATCACGTTTTATGCTGCAGATGATGCAGGCTCCTTTATATGCGAATGATACCGAAAGGAAGTATGAAGATGGATGTATGGGAGATCAGGAAGTCTTTGATAGTATTAGAAAACCTCCCCTTGAGTGCAGTGAAGAGGGGCTTGCCATTCGAATAGCCATAGAGGTAATTTTAGCTTGTTTGAGGGCATGCATGTGAATTTTAATGTGGTAAATGCCTAGTCTTGAACAATGGTTAATAGTTGATGGAATCAATCTTATGTCGATGTTCATGCTTATTATGAAGTTTCAAATTTAGCGTTAAGTGCAGTTCGTATCACACTGTGTTTCAAAATATCAATATATCATGCTTAATTCTTGGCAAACATGAGTTTATGACTACTGTGATACTCATATGTATATTTTAGATTCTCAACACTCAGAATTCCTGTCAGCTGTATTTCTAGCTAACGTACTTGAATATTTTTTAACTTGTCTAAAGGTAGGTTTGAGGCTCTCTCTTTGCGGTGCAAGTCTAAATTTAAATAAAAAATATTGATACAAATGTAAATCAGAAAATTTTAGTTCGTCAATTATCTCATAAGTAGATATTTTAAAGGTCATTTTCTACTTCACGATTGTTAATTATTAACATGATCAACTTACTGTTTAATTGTTGTCTTCAATATATCTTCTAAGCCTTAATGGTAAAAGTAGTAATGTAATTACCATAACTCATAATATATAAGCATTACACATAGAAGTAAATGTTTTTAGTTTAAAATTTTGATAGCAAATTGAGAACTTCAGACTCCATGCATTCTCAGATGTAAACTTCTTATGATCCAAGAAGATGATAGATCCCCGGTACTGAAGCAATATGTAAGAAGGGTAAGAAGGTTCGGTAAGGTAAAAAGGGGATGAAATTAGGTGTGGGCCTGAGTTAGTTAGAGGAATTTTGGGGTAAAGGGAATTAGTTATATATACTGCTGTGCCATGGAGGGTAGGGGTATCTTTTTGTTAGTGGTTAGTATCCTTAGAAGGATTGTAAGGAGAGGCAAGGGAACTCTCGAATCTCCCTCAATCGTGTAATTTCCCTCTTTTAACATAAATAATAGAAGTATATTCTATCAAAAAGATTTAAGATTCAAGGCTAAAAATTTGAGTCGTCCTAAGGAAAAGCTTCAGACTCCACATTCTCATAGAGTTGTAAACCTATTCTAAATGAGATGTAAACCTCTTATGATCCAAGAAGATTTAAGATCCAAGGCTAAAAGTTTGAGTCTTGTCCTACGGAAAAGCTCAAGGTGTAAGCCTCAAAATCCTCTTAAAGCTTTATGTCAGTCATGGATTCTCCTAAAGAAGGTCATTTTGGATGTAATGACTCGGATCTCAAATATCTGTCAGGGCACCGAGAAAGTTACTTATATCTGAAGCAATGGTGTAGATTGATGTAGTTGTGTGGGACCAATAACCTACTTCAATATATTGTATATTTGTTAGAGGTGATCTGGTCACTTGAGGAAACAATTTGTTGTAGCTAGATCAAGTGCAAGAAAAGTATGACCTCTCTCAATTCTGTTTGTCTGTCTCTCTTTTTCTTGCTCCATACTTCTTTATATCCCTCACTCTGTCCCTTTGGCTTGCTCCATCTGTATGCGTTTCTGTTGCTGTTCTCTCTCTCTCTCTCACAGCTGTCACTTGGAGATCTCTGCCTCCTCTTTCAATATCTCTTTGGTTAATGAATAAACCCTTTCTTTAACTGAACAGGTTTTTATCAATCTTTCTTCTGTTTATAGGTCCGAGTTATTTGGGTTTTGTCTTCAACGCCTGATCTCAATTCAAATCTTAAATGACTCATAATAATTGGATTGTGTTTGTTTGTTATATTTTGCCCTTTATTTTCTTCATCTCATGCTTCGTAATATAAATGTTATAAGTCAGACCTTACTGAAGTTTTTTTTTTCATGCTTAAATCTTAGAGGACTATTGTCTTAGTGCACGTTGCACTTAAAAAAAATACTATCATTTGTTAATCAAACATGTTAAGATTGATGGAACGCTCAAGAGAAGCTAGAAAAGTGCACAGTTTTGAACCCTGTAATTCATACTAGTTTGAGGGGAGTGTAGATTCTGCATTAACATAGCTGTCACAGACTCACATATACGTTAAAGTTGGCCAAGTTGACTAATTTGAATTGTACCAATTTGAATTGTACCAATTTGAATTTTCTGTCTATTTGTTTACCATCTTTGCTTTTCAATTTTCGATCATTCATTCTTGTCTAAATTTGTAAAAAGTTGGTCCCTTTTACGTTAACTTGCCAAGAGTGTGATACTTGTTGAATTAAACAGAGAAATAAAGTTTGTCTCATTTGCTAAATATCTGACTTTTTGTCTGTTGCATCCAGTTCAATGTTGTGGTTTACTGACTTGTTAACATTTGATTGATACTTCTTTGAGGTTGCAAGCTTCCGTGGAAAGAAGACACCTGCACAAAAGTCATATGTTTCTGCTTTGTGTCGTTTACTTGTGTCGCTTCATTTTCGCCCATCAGAACAAGGTGCTATAAGGCTAATGAGAAGACTACTATGTCATGTAATTGAAACTGCATCATCAGATAAGGATCTTGTCAAGGAGTTAAAGCGGATAGGGGAGCATCTCACAGCTATTGACAAACAACCAGATCTTGAAATGTTGCAAGATCAAGCTCATCTAATTTTAGGTAAATGTTCCTTATTCATTTGCTGCTTCTTGGTTTGACGACAGTTCTAAAAGTTCACTGAACAAAAACTTCAACGAGTTATGTTTCCTGAGTAATACCTTCTTTTAAGTAATAGAAGGGACCAATTACGTGGTCTGAGAGTGGTTTCCACCCCTTATTAAAAGTCATATACCAGGGTCTATAATCACGTTAGACTTTCAATTTTGGATGACCTGGGTTTAGTTTTATTTCTCTTTATCTCCCAACATCTCCAATCTATCTTTTGAATTAGTAGTGCTCATAGAATCATATTTGCTTGGAAACACTCCAGCCACGCAGATATGCTGGGTGAAATTTTGCCATGAGATGGTTCTCCAGGCAAAGCTTTTTTCCAATTGTTTTCGGTATTGCAATTCTGATTCACTAGCATATCTCTGATATAGCTTTGAATGTGTCCATTTTTCCTGTTGTTTTGTGCTAATAAACAAATGTACTTACAGATCAACTAAAACTGGAGTTCAATTTCGAAGCTGAAGTTGCACAAACACCAGTCCCATGTTCTACCAGACCTGCACGTTCCAGGAGACGAGTGAAACATGAGTCTTCATCTTCTGATGAAGCCATGTCGCCCACCTCTGTTTCCATTGTTGCAGGGACAATCAGTACACGCTCACAGAGGGCAAGCAAAACTGTGGCGTTGACTAGAATTACGAGTAGTGCACTTAAGATGAACAATGTAGATGAGGAAGACGAGGAGGATGACGATGAGGATGATGATTCAGATGATGGAGATTCAGACGTGACAGAGAATTAATGGGATCAATCATTGTTTGCCAGTACCATGGTATTTTTCTCCAGTGTTGTATGCAAGCTATATGATTGAATTATATGTAGGCATCAGTTGTATAATTGTATTGTACATATATGTGCTTCAACTATGTATGTTACATTCTGTAGCTATAGTGAGTAAAATCTGCTTGGTTTGTAAAATGAATGCATAATTAGATTGTGGATTTGCATAAATGAGTTTTTATCTGTTCTTTTAACATATGTTATAGTTTATCCAAATTAGTGTTTCATTTTTGGAGACTGTCAGTAGTTGAAGAAGCGATGCTCAATGGTAATTAAAAAAAATTGTGGATTGAGTGATTAGAAAAAAATATCCAATTTGAAACAGATCTGAGTTACGTCAAACCCTTCAAGCTCCACAAGTTATAAGATGARGTCCTCAATAATGGAAATATTTAGCTCAAATATGAAAACACAAACCAAGTGTGTTGTCAAAATCAACATTTAGGGCCTTTTCACATCAGAGAATTGTGGGGCACTTCTTTGAATTCAAAATGGTCACTTTGAAGGTGGGCCCAATAACCGACCCAACCCGACCCGACCGGTTTACACCCCTAAATTGTCTACATCAGCTCTAAAGATGGAGGTTTTGGACTTGATGGTTGGTGGTTAAACATTATGTTGGCTGGATGCTCTAGTGTTTCTAGGCATATGGTATGGAGATCTTACTGGGATTTGAAGAAAAGGCAAGTGAACTAACCAAATAAGAATAATTAGTTTAGTTCTAAAAAATGTTTCTAAATCATAGTTGATAAGATTCTACTGTCCCACTTGGTAAAAAAACAAAACAAGAATCTTGACATCCAAASACAAAACAAAAAAAACAAAAACAAAAATCGACCAAATAGCTTTAACTTTGGAACTCAGTACCAAGGATTTAACTTTTATTTTCTTTTAAAGGTGTTGATTCCTTTGATTTGATCAAGCCTCACAAATTACTCTGTCATTGCAAGCTATTACTCTATTGAATAGGAGACATGTTGTTATATTSGTAGGGTTTAACCATCTCTAAAAACCAAATCAAAACTATACTCAAATCATTAGACTAAGTTGAAATTTTGTAATTACACGTATCGAATTAAAAGTTTACCGAACTTATTACTTTTAACCTAAAATTAAGAAGTTCCAACTCAAAAACTTTTTTGGATTTTGTCCAATTTTTTCAACAGAAGAGCTTCAGAAACCATACTTCCCCAAATTGGTGAACACAAGCAGCACACAGTTTCACATCCTCACCTATCCAATCCGTTTTACCGAATTCTAGAAGTTAGCAAAGTGCAAAACCCAAAACGAAGATAATTTAAAAAAAGAAAAAAAAAAGAAGAAAACTAAAAAACACGACAAAAATCATTATAGATGCAGTCAAAGAGTTGGTTTACTGTTAAAAAGTTGTTAAAAAAAGTCTTGAAGAAGTCGTCAACGATAATATAAAATAAAACCCTCTCCACATGCAGATGATTGATTTTATTGATTGATTCGTTCATGTATTTATGGAATTGTTGACTTGTGCAATTATTTCTAGATCTTCTTCATTAAATACTTTGGAAAATTAGTATTAAAAATTTGAAAATTCCGACACCCAACATTGATATGTTTTAAAAACCTTAACCCAACCCAACCCAACATATCACCGACCAATCATGTTTGTGTGTTCATATATAAAAGTCAATAATTTCTGCCATTTAATCCTCCTATGATCTTCTTCTTCTTGTGTTATTAATGATTCCACACTCCATTTCATTTTCCTACAATAAGTTTTTTTTGAGTTAAATTGTTTAATTTTATTTTTTGTTGCACAAGAATTGAAGGTTCCTTCATTTTGCAGTTGTTGGATTAAGATTATTTGATATTATCTTATTGCTTAATAACATCTGTCTGCATATACAAACTAAAATTTTGTGTTTAATAATTTCGTTTGTTAGTTGTGCTTATTTTATTTTCCACATTTTTTTAATACACTTTNCAAAAAAAAAAAAGCTTATTTCTCATACTGCCAAAATATATTTCAATTAATTATTATTTAAATCTTTCCTTAAGTTAAAAATAAAAAATAAGTAGATTTTTTAAAACTAGCGTCCAAAATGTGGCTGTTAAAACAATAGTAAAAAAACACGATTTTTTAAATAATATCATGATTGATACTACGTTGATAAAAGAAGGGACATTTTATAATAGACATGAGTTACTCCTCTCATCGTCCATGAATATTAATATGGTATTCAAGTCCAAAAGTTCAAATGAGCATCTGGTCCAAAAATAAAATCCGAAACCCATGAATATCAATAATTACGATAAGAAAACTTTAGAAAATTATTTTAAAGTCTTTTTAGGGGTGCTTTTGTAATTGAGAAAAACTATAGGGGCATAGTTGTAATTTTGGAAAACGATGCAATCGAATTTGATATTGATTTTTTGGTTGAGARTCTAGAATAGAGGCGCATATGGTTGTATAATTCCACGCATGCATTTGCAGATGCAGGCATCTTATTGTATCCACAGAATCTGGAAATTTGGAAAAAAAAATATTTAATTTAATGAAAATAACAAAATAAAGTGCGGCTACAAAATACAGAGCGGCCAAATATAATATAATATAATGTTCTAATTTCGAATATAAATTACTGCATGGGGGGGCCGCAATAAATGGAGATGCTTTTTTTATTTTTTCAGCCAATTGAATGATAGAAACCGCAATAAATTTATTTGTTCTTTTGTAATGTATTTTTAAGAAAAAATAAATMATTTTTTTTCTACCCGTATTTTATTGAGTAAATGAACTTTTATGATTTATCCTAAATTATTTATTTATTTTATTATATATATTTCTTTAGTACAATATGGGTATAAGTTGTAAAATTAATACCATTGACTATTCAAGTTTTCATATCACTCCTATGCTATCCATCAAATTAAGTATATTGGATGAAAGTTAGTTTTCTCAAAAAATTTTAAAACTGATAGTTTTAAAAATATTTAGAGAAAATAGGGTAGTTTTGAATAAAGTGGCAAAGTCAATTTGAAATTGAAATATTTTTGTCCATTTCTTCTTTCCTTCACGGTATAAAAAAAGAATCTAAAATCATTTTTGAAAATATTTGGAACACTACAATATTTTCAATTGGTAATTTATATTCTCCTGCAGGCCCTAAATTCAACCCCCTATTATTGTTATTTTCTTTTTTGTTTAGTTTAATCACATGTGAAGTGGAAATTGATCTGTTTTAACTAATTAAATTATGTTAATAACATTAAAATTAGATCAAAGTAGGAAAATTTTGACATTTTCAGAATCTACCTAAAATTCTAATACATGAACGACCGAGTCACTAGGAAAAGAGAAACTTAGACCCAAAGGAAGGATTTGAAACGTACTTGCGGACTTTTAAAGAAAAGCTGTTATACAAATTAATTAAAATATTATGTATTTTCCAGAATTTCGTAGTGAAAAAAGAAATTTGTAGATAAAATGTAGCTGGCGCTTTCCTAAATTAAAAGAAAAAGACGTCGTAAAAGTTGAGATGTTGGAATTTTCTTCCCAAAAAAAAAAAAAAAAGTTGAGATGTTGAAATGCAAATTGTTGATTATGACTTTTTAAAAATTTTTTATATTTATTATTCTTATTTTTTGGTAGGTAGAGAATGTATCTATATATGAATTAAATCAAGTCCATCGATTTAAAGCTTTTAAGATGAATAGTGATTTATTCTCCACGTACTATCAAAACAAGATTTCTTGTATTCGAACCTTTGCATTATATTATTTCCTGATCCCTATTTATCATAAGTTTAAACTTTTGAATCTTTAATTTATGAAAATGTTAATCAGTATACTATATTTAAATTCGCTATTTAAAAGCTATTGTTTTGAACCAACTAAACTATTCTTCTTCAATAGACCTATTTGAATGATTCACATACTTGTGTTGGGCGTTTAATCATTTGGATGAATATCCATTAAATTCTTATTCACATATTATAAATTAATTGATAATAATATTATAAGGTACCTTAAAAAATTATGGCTCTTGATGCACAAAAATATGTGTGTGTTTTGTATGTATTACATATAGGTGTATGTATGCATATTAGCTAACAGAAACATGGATTCAGATTGATGTTCTTACTTTGCATCATTTTATTCTAAGCTAAATATATATAATTTAGTTTTCTAAAATTATTATCATTTATCTATTCTATCACATTTTTTAAAATATATAAAAAAAATAAAAAATTTTCAGTTTCATGAATTTTTTTAGTTAAGCACATTCTTAATGACAAACTCGTCATTAGTGATATTGTTAGTATTAAAAATTAAAATACATTTTATTGTTGTTTTTTTCTAGTTCAACCACATATGGGATGAAGATTAGAACTTTAAATTGGTTTACTTTAACCGGTCGAATTATATTTAGGGTTGACAAAATATAGTTTATTAATTATTAAATAGAGAGTAACTTGTATTTAATTTAATGGGTTGGTTACCTTCATCCATAGTATTAAAAGGGAATATTATACAAAACTATGAGTTATTATTGTTTTTTTTTAATTTAATAATTGTTAGAGTGTAAGATCAAATTAGCATAGACTTCTAGGTGATAAATGAGTTTTAAGCATGGTATTTCCTTTATTTTCTAAATTCAATAATGAAAAGAGAGACAAAATTACATTAAGCTGATGTAGATATATAGTACCTTTACATCTTTAATTAAAAAATGATAATATATCAATAATTAGAGGGAGAAAAGGAATTGTCATTTTCATATCCTTATTTTTTCCTTTTCTCTCTTTTTTATAATCAAGAAATTGTGGCGGTGGATATTCATATTACCCTCCTAGAATGAAGAGCTGGTTTTCTATATCCTAAAAATTATAATATTATTAACTCCATCTTTCAGGAATAAAATAAAAGAAAATAAGTTTAATTCACATTTAATTTATAATATATATAATGGTATACTATTTCATGTCGGCATATGCATATGCATACGTTTTTTTATTTAGTATTTTAATTTAAATAGATAATAAAGATTTAAATTTATGATCCGTAAAAGGATGGATTACTAATATCTTATGCATAAAGTTTTTATTTGTTTTCCTAATGAATTGGTAATTAGTCTCAAAGTCTTTTATTCACTCCTTAAATTTGGACTTTCAAAGCAATTAAAA